TTTTTTTTTTTTTTTTTTTTGCAGTCCTCCAGTAAATATTTTGGAAATAAATACAATCTGATGTGATTCAAGCATTATGTTGTAATCATATTACCTAATAATGATTACACTTATTTCCTCACTACCTAACCCTTCAATCCACCTGTGAAGATGTCTGCTTTTTACCAAACAGTGCATACACTCACATCATTGGTCCACAGAATGCTAACTGCTAAAGCAGGTCCTTTGTCCCAGAAGCCCATTGAATAGAGCGGAGGAAACCCTGTGCCCGAGAGCAGCCATCTTGGATAGACAGAGCATATTTGAGCCAGGAGAACTTGCAAACCTCCTCTGAACATCTCCAGAACTCAAAGCTAAAAAGATTAAATTCCTGGTAAGAACAGATGATGGGAATTACTTAACACACCCTTGCACACGTGCTATGTCTAATAAAACGTTTTAATCATCAAACAGTAGGAACTGTGTATGTAGCTACAGCTGTTGTTTGTGTTGGGCAGTGGAGTCGGCTAAAGGAAAGCTAACGGAGCTTGCTAACAATATCAGGTAGATAACTCTTTTAATACGAACTGTCAGCCTTTTGGTAGTTGGAAAATTAGGTTGTGTACGAGACATGACTTGCTCATCCTAAATTATTTAGCAAAATTAGCAACGTGTGTACCATTCGCTGATAATTTAGCATGCTAACGCTAGCTAGCTATCGGAAGATATGACGGCTTTTTGTTGAATAAAACTGAGGCCAAGTTTGTTTTCGAGGGTAGATATTGCGACAGACAATATTAATATGACTTTACACTTTCTGGTAGTGACAATAACATTACATTATGATGTTAGTAGGGCGTGTTGTCAATGTTTACGCGTTTATGTCAGGTTATTAGCTGGAGCTATCGCAAACCTAGCTGTCAAAAAAAGCTAATAAAGCAGTGTTAGTTTTATCGGATTCAAACATGCAGCTAAATGGTCACGCCAGCTTCTGTATTTGTTTTCCCTTTCACTGCTTAACGTTGATTTCCTATGTAAATGATTGAAAAAAACAACACCTTTGTCTAACCAGTGCTGTCATTTTTACCGGTTATTGCTAACATAATTGCCCGAGGAAAATCTGTGTCAAAACAATACAATAGATTCGATACTACAGTCAAGTTTATTGATTTTACAGTCTGGGATCATTCATATTGCTTGTGAGGAAGTGAAATTGTGATCTTTAAGGACAAGGGGTTCATTGCCAGTTAGCGTACAGTGTGTTAAGCTTTGCTTGTACACACTGCAGATGTCTAGGAACACAATTTGTCCCCAAATAATTTGACATGGATTTGGAAGGTGGTATAGCTGTGGGGGCATTTAGCCTTAAAGTGTTGCATTGTTTCTGCTTTTAGTACCTCTGCTCTGTGCACAAACAAGCTTTTTCTTGAACTATAACAAACACTTTTGCTTTGTGTGTTTTTTATTTATTTATTTTTGCATTGATTGTCTAAATATGTCATCATTATGAAATTAAAGACATGTTTTAAAGCAATGCAGTAAATTGCTCAGATCTCTTCTATAAATGTGATTATCGCTTTACATTACTTCCAAAGCTTTGCACAGTGTCGCATGATTTCAGCAGTCAGCAGGTCTGAACACCATTCCAATATGTTGCCTATGCAACCTGATTTCTGGTTTGAAACACAGGACCTTGGTTAAAAAGAAGATGAAGCAAGTACAAACTGAAATAATTCTGTAAATGTGTGGGAAATGTTAATAATTTTTGAAAACTTCATCCTTTTTTTGTGCATGTCTTATAAAGCTCATCTAGGCATTGCACATTGCCTATCTGTATTTCAAAATGCATGTTTTGAATTGAAGATGAGCAGAATTGGACCATTTATTTAATTATTATTTGTCCTTGGTGTGGTTTTTGGATGTATACATTCAGAGCTGTAGCCTCAAATGTTTTCTGTCACAAGGAGAGCACCCGTGCTTTCTAAAACTCATCAAAACTAAATTGAGGTGTGTCTGACTATTTCAAGAGGGAAAAATTATTTTTAAACATGTTCAAAATTCAAGTGACAAGCTATTCCTTCAGTGACTGCTGCAAACCTCTGCAACTCAAGCAAGAAAACTGAGAAAGCCCACAGATATACAGATGTACTTTGGAGACTCCCTTGCGAATGCAGTTCACCAAACAGTTGCAGACCAGGGAGAAGGTATCTTTATCCATCGACGAGACTCAACAGTTGCCAACAAAACGGCAGAAGAATCTGGCACAGTCAGATAAAATAGTCAAAAAACAGAAGTTGGAAATGATAAAGCTAGATTTCGGCTTGCTTTTTTCAGCTGTTAATAGTACATTTTGTCTGAAGCATGGCAAATTAATTTTTAGAATGGTTTTCTTGCACTATACATGCAGTAAATTCCTGATGAAAAAACATGTACAATAGGTTACCTTTAGGCCCAGGTCTCCCTTGCAAAAGAGATCTGTGATCTCAGTGGGATTTGCCTGGTTAAATAAAGGTTAATAATTAAATAAAAAATAAACTTTTATAACTCGTAATTTAAATGATTTAGTTTTTTTTTTCTATGGGGACTGATTTTAAGAGGAGGAAAGGCTGTGGAGCGAGACTCAGCATGTTGCCGAATAATAAGAACGCTGAGGCTGCAGTCTGGTGTCATGGTTTCAACTTGTCTACTTCTTGATAGATACTCATGTTGTTCATTTCTGTGAGCTCACATGTAATTGTTCCCCCTGCCTGAGCCATTTATTCTCACAGATTATCTCTTCACCACATATAGAAAAAGAGTGGCCACAAGAGAATCATGTGACAAAAGGCAACCTAGAAAAAAAAGCCACAAATCTTTATATTCCCAGAATGCCAGTAGTGTTTAAATTCACTGTTTTTTTTTTCTTTCAGATTTGAAAAGTCAAATACTGAATCATTGTGTGAGTCATGCTCATTGTGGTTTTATGCACTTCCTTTTTGCTGATTAGGCTGTCAAGTCTGTAAACAAATAAGATATAATTAATTAAGGGGAAAATATATTATTAGTCTATCTGAAAAATGTGCACATAAACAAGTTATTTGCTTTATTTGGTCTACTTTGATCATAACTCTAAGGCTAAAGTAACAACCTAACAAAGATAAAATGAGGTTTGGTATCCAGATGGCAAATGGATGAAACAAGTTGAAACAAACTGTTAACTACACTTTTGTTTGCCAGAGTTATTGCCAAATACTGGGTCAAGTTGCAAAGTTTGTTGAAGCCCATTAGTGTGGGCCAAGTCTCAGACCACCAGCTAAAACAAACTCACTCATGCTACTTTTAGCTGTGCAAGTTGTTTACAAAGTTTCTGTCCAAATCTTATAAAATATTTTTGACGCAAACTGGCAGCTTCCCTAGAAAGATTACGTGTTCTAATTGACATTTTATAATGTTTGTGAATAAATGTGGGGTATTTTCTAATTAAAGGATTGAACATGACCCAACTCTGAATAAGTGGATTTTTCTCAAGATCTTTCATAGTTTTCCTTTTGGACACATTGGCTTCTTTACCACTGATTATCAGTCCACCGTTTTCAGTGGAATTTTGTTTTGTGTGTTAAATCACCTTATTTTGACTTAGGAATCATTTGGGTGTAAAAGGCTCCTAAATTCGAACAATGAACAAGTGTGATTTATCACAGTCTGTATGAACAATTTAAAATGGCTCAAATGGTTTTGCACAATAGGGTTGGGCATAATCGTATCGTGTGCAATTAATCGTCAGAAAAACATTAATCGATTAATTTTTGGCACGTGACGATTAATACGATTAATGCCACCCGGCAGACAAACCGCTTGGTGCTCCTCTCTGTTTCAAATATAACAAACATTTTAAAAAGTTGTGTAATTTATTTATCTACCAGCACAATTTAAAGATTGATGTATAGCCTGAAGTCTGTAATTTTGACACCATTTGGAACAGATTTTTACTAAGAGCCAATTCTCTCCCTATAAATTGGTCATGTGACTAGGATATAAGAGTATCCAGGGACTCCGGGGGGATTAATCGTCAAATCAATCGTTATCGGCTGAATACCACAATTAATCGTGATTAATTTATTTGCCAATATTGCCCAACCCTATTGCACAATGACTGGACTAAATACAACTTTTAAAAAATCAGTTTTTATAACATTCTTGGAAAATACTCATGGAACTGTTGCTCTTACGTCAAATTTGCAAAAAATAAAAAGTTTAGCTCCTGTTGTTGAAGTAGAGACAAAAAAAAAAACAAGGTGACCTAATGTTTTGCTCTGTACTGTTCATGCAAGATATAGTTGTGTAATGACATAGCTTATTTTTAAACTTTTCTGCAACTTTCTACATCCTGAACTTGGGAACATGCAGCCCAAATTGTTCAATGTGAATGAGGAGAAATGCATGTGTGTTTTTAAAAGTCACAGTTCTTCAGTTGTCTTCATCTTTGCTAGTTCTGTTCCATTTCCAGAGTAATTCTTTAACGATCATTTTCTTGTACAGAAATTTTGTAGGTTAACTTATCACAGCTCATCTACATTTTTGGTGGTTGTGTCAGTACTGATCTAGCCAGTCAGACGTGGTCGCTGAACTGCAGGTGCATTGCCAGCTCTGAGTTCTGATGTGGGACAGGAATTTTAGTTGCTAAGAAATGCTTTGAAAGATGATACAGTTATCACTGAGTACAAAAACAAACAAAAAAAAGCTTTAAACTGCTTTCTGTTAACTCTAGCATATCTGCCTTTTCCCCCCGATACAATATTATATAGCAGCCACAATTCAGCACAGTTTTAGAATGGTCATTATGTCAGAAAATTGCTTTACATCGTGACATTGTGATGTTAAACACAACATTTGTAGATGGTTGTTTACAGTGGTTTGCAAAAGTATTCATACCCCTTGAACTTTTCCATATTTTGTCACATTACAACCACAAACATGAATATATTTCACTGGAATTTAATG